CCCCCCCACCACCTACCATCATCTCTTGAGAGAGCGGCAAACACCAAAATGCCCATAATTATGACAATCATCTCTGAGCCCAGGCAGAGGCTGCTTTGTATGGGCTTGGGCCTTAACTGCTTGGACTGCTTGGCCTGCTTGGCCTGCTTGGACTGCTTGGGCTGCTTTATGATGCAGCGTTAATCCCCATTGTTGGGGCCATTGTGGCGTTCCTCTTGTTGTTGGCTTAAGAATCTGTTACAGAAAACTTAAAAGCGTCGCTTTAATAACTTTATTGATTTCGATTAAGCGCTATAACGTAGGGTGATCATCATCATCATCATTATCATCAGCAACATCATCATTGGCATTTCTTTGGGTTTAGTTTTGGGCATAGGAAAAATAGTTGTAGAGGATGGAGGATACTCTACCTATTGAGTTTTGGTTCAAGGAAGTCGCGACTGGAAGCTCTTTTATATGTTTATTGAGAGTTCTTCGTACCGCATATAAATTTCGCTATTTTCTTTCCTCGAATAAAGTGAACCCCTGTGCTGATTGTTCCATTTCGATGCATGGTGATGCTCCTCTGTCTACGCACATGTGACCCCAAGTTTCAGTAATTGTATGTCATACTACGTAGTTCTTCTTTCAGCCATAGATCCGTTTAACTTCCAGTATTTCTTCCTGCCCAAATTCTCTTAAATGAAGAGCATTCACCAGCTGGCTTGGCACCAAAAACGAACGAGCGAACTGCGCTCCTCGACCAATAAACAATCACACAACGGACAATAAGCTTAACATTCGATATATATTTTCTTAGCTCAATAAAAAACACATTTACAACAAAAGCGAGAGGATGGGATCGGGGGGCTTTTGATCAATGTTTAAGGAGCTGGGAAGCTCAGCTCAGATTTGAATGTCTGCCATTCGGATGGATAGACTCGTCGTCGTACGCGTACAAATAAACCTAATGGGAAAAAATAAACGTGTGAAGAATAGTTAAGAAGAGCGTCGTCCAATTTGATTTGCATCGAAAAGTAATTGAGCCACAAAAAACGAGGCAGAGAAAAAGAAATGGAAACGCACCACGGGGGCACGCGAGTCGGAGTCTGATTCTGAGTCTGATTCTGAGTCGGAGTCGGAGTCGGAGTCGGTTATGGCAAATGAAGCTGTGGAAAATCTTTCAAATCATGCACAATTATTAAAATCCATAAATCCGTAATAATCATATCAACAGGCCACGGACCAGATCATCCAAACAGACAAACAGAATAGAGAGAGGAAGAGAATGCAGAGAGTACAGAACGGGGCAACAATAACCACCATAAGGTGGAGTCATTAACAGCATGCCACAGACAACAACAACAATAGCTGTGGCAGAGAGGGAGGTGGAGCTGTGTTGGGTGTTGGGTGGGGGGGGGAACGAACAGCAAAGCGCGAACACTGAAAAATTAATAAGCAATAAAATTGCCATGAAATGAACTACACCACAAAATTCCCATGAAAGCGACCGGCGACCCCCCCTGCCACCCGACACCAGACACCCGCTGTGTGGAGCCAAAGGCAGGAGCTGCAGCATCCAGCAGTCCAACAGTCCACTCCCGAGAGTCCAAAACGGTTAATCGGTGTTACCGTTCCCCCAATCCACAAAAAAACAACAACAAAAAACCCAAACCCGAAACGAAACTCAAACGGACCGAACCGAACCGGACTTGAAGCTGGACCTCAAAATGAATGCAAATTCAATTGACACTTCGCTGGCCTTCGACTTGCCTTCGACTGGTTTCCCTGTGCACTGCTCCTGCTCCTGATCCAGCTCCAGATGATGCCCCCCCCCATGGGGACTCATTGGTTTCTTTCACATAATTTGGTGATAACTCGACCGGTGTCTGACCAATTGGGGTCGAGAATATGTGTGCCGGACACGTTTAAAGTTGCAATTCGATGTGGTTAAACTTTTTCCTGATTTCTTCGAGCCAACAATGTTGCCTTTAGCATTATGGGTAGTGGCTGTAGGAGATGCGAGGACAGACAGACAACGATCAGTATAAAATTCACTGATTCTTGGTCACAGAATATCAACTTCTTCCAAGGGGAATCTAAGCAATCCTTCTGTGTGCCAAAGCCGTCGGAGCATGGACAACGTTTAACTTATCCCTTTCAGTGCAAGGCCTTTCCCCCGTTCTATTTGAATACTTTACTGCCTGGAAATGGTTTGATTTTGATGGTCAAATGGTTACTTTTTGGGGGTGTTTAATGCATCATATAAAGATGGACATTAAATGGACATTTCGCTTAATGCGGGAATGCATTACCAGAGAGTGCGAGAGAGATCCAACCGTGGAATTTTTATTCATTTTCCAAAGCCATTTCCACACCATTTCGCAAAAGGAAAACACTTTGGGAGTTTTGCTCATTTATATGTGTATTTTTGATGCCATTTAAATTGCTGTTTATTGAATTTGTTTGCCCCATTTCGGGTTTTTAGCTTTCGTTTCTCGTTCGTTTCTTTGCCGTCTGTTTGTTTGTTGTCTCTTTTGTCTTTTGTGGGTACATTTCTGCGTGAATGTGTGGGTGGGGACTTTGGGGAAGTATCGTATTATTTTGTGGATAAGCTCGACACGAAATAAACCAAAAAATAATAAGCATAATGTTTCGTTTTATGTGGGCTTTCTCTTTACAGATTTTTCATTTCTTTTATTCTTGTTTGACAATCATTTTATTCGATACAGTTTAATGTTTTTCTTGTTCTTGCATTTTTCTCCTTTCGTCTTGCATTTCTATTCGTAGTTTTGTGTGTGTGTTTTTTCTCATATTCTCATAGTTTTGTTTAAATATATCTTTTAATGTACTATTTCTCCTCCTTAGCATCGTCTTTATATATTTATGAAAAAAAAAAAAAAAACTTCCTCTTAATTAAGTTTTGGGTTTCAATCCGATTCTTTGTGTTTTGGGTTTTGTTTTTGTTTTTGTTTTGTTTGAGCTAAATTAAATTACATTTTTACACACACGCACACACACTCATTCATACCTACACTGGGAAAAAAAATTTGTCCTTAGCTGTTATCGTTTTCTTTTTATTACATAAAAATATTATTCATAGTTCAAGCATTGCTTCAAAAAAAAAAAAAAAAAATTATTAGAATAAGTTTTATAATTAATGTAAAAATAATAAATTCATTTACAACACTAATTTAGTCTCTCTTGGAACAGGGGGGTTTTAAATTACAATACACGCAAAAAGAAAAAAAATATTTATATTATAAAGTCCAATAAATAGATTCACTTAGAAATATTCAAGCTCTGAACCGAAGAGAAGTCAAGAGGAAGAGGGAAAGGGAAACTTTTAGCTGGGTTCCACCAGGGAAAGGTTCGATGCGCTGTTTAAGTGTGCCATAAGCGAATAGACACAAACGTAGGGCATGGGCAACGAGTGATTCTGATATTTGTTGCCAATACAAAAATTTCTTTTTAATTAGGAAAACTTTTGGTAGGGAATTTGTCTGGTTTTTTGTACAGAATATTTGTTATGGAAGTGCTAGTGGAACCCATAAAGGAGAGAGAGAGAGAGAGAGGGCTGAACTTATAGACAGATGGACAAGTGTAAAACTGAGCAAAAACCTCTAGGAACGCATAAATCAATGGAGAAGCAAATGCGGTTCGATCGAACGCCAAACCCAAACCCAAACCCAAACCCAACTCCAGCATCAGCTGCACCTCCTGCTCGGATGCTGCCTGGTTGCCTCACGTGTTGTTGAATAGCAACGACTCGATGCTGAAGGGATTGCTGCGCCGCATGCTAATGGGCGAGGTCTGGTGGACGAGATTGGCCGCCGCTGCCACCGCAGCCGCCGTGGCCGAGGCGGCGGTGGCCGCCGCACTGTGGTTGTGCCCATGCCCATGCCCATGCCCATGGCCGTGCCCGTGCCCGTGGCCACCGTGGTGCTGGGAGTTTTGCAGGTTGAGTTGATGGAAGGCCTTGGCGGGAAAGAGCAGCGATTTGGGTGATGCTCGCGACTCCTGTTCCCTGTCCCGATCCTCTGACTCGCCGCCATCCATCGGCTCCATCTTGCCAAAGACACCGCCGCCGTTCGAGAGCAGCGTGGAGGGAGCCACGGAGCTGGGGCTGCCCAAGCTGCCGCCGCCGCCAATGAAGCTGCCCGCCCGCGAGCTGTCACCGTCGCCGTCCAGGCCGCAGTGGCTCTGGCCGCCATGCTGCGGCCCGTGGCGGGCCGGGCTGACGGCATCGCTGTCCAGCTCGTCGTCGCTGTCGGTGCCGCCGACGACATCGATCTGGATGCCATCGTCCTCGAGATCCGAGTCCGAGAAGGTGCCGTTCGCCTTGTGCTGTGATATGTACTCGGCCTTGAGGGCCTCCAGGTCGACGGTGATGCCCTTGGCCTGCAGCTTCCTCGCCTGCCTGTCGATGGCTTTGGCCAGCTTCTTGCGGCGCCTGGCACTGCAAAGATCACAAAAAACGAAGCAGGGAAGAGGGGAAATGCTATAGCTGGGGGGGCGAGATAGTTTTCCAGGGGTAGGAACACTTACCGCTCCTTGGCCTTGAGCTCGTTGGGCGGTATCGGCTCGCCGCTGCATGTCTGCGGCTGGGCATTGTGGGCTGGTCGGCCGGGGCCCTTTTTGGTATGCTCGCGCTTACGCACCTTGGCCCGTCGATTCTGGAACCATACCTATCTGGAACAAAGCGTATAATCTCAGCAAAGGTGCTCGGATAAGCTGCCGGATAAGGGGCCGGCTGGCTGTGGAACGAGACTCACCGCAACTCGCGACTCCTTGAGGTCCAGCCGCATGGCCAATGCCTCGCGCATAAATATATCCGGATAGTGGCTGGCGGAGAAGGCCCGCTCCAGTTCCTCCAGCTGCCACGAATTGAAATTTGTGCGGGATCGACGACGCTTTGCGGCGCTGCTATCATCATCGCCGTCGCCAGGAAAACCTAAAACCGAAAAATAAAACAGCCAAAATGTAAATGAATTTTGTGGCTCAGCATCAAGTCATTAATACACAATGGAATAGAGAACGCAGAAAGGGGGTGTTGGCTTATTAAAACTAATTAGGGTTCTACCCCCCCACAAAAAAGGAAAGGAAAAGGCAGGAAAGAATGAACCAAAAACTAACCCCCACACATGGGACAGTGGAAAGTCTGAAAAATGAATAGAGAAACACACACACACACACATAGAATGGAAAAACACTTTGTTCCCGACACTAAAAACCCTATAATTAAGTGTTGGAGAAATTATTTAAATGAAGCCAGCCGCAAGACAGGAGCAGCAGCAACAAACAGCGACCGAGCAGCGCCACAATGCATAAATATTCATAATCATATATTTCAATTACAACGCCAATGGGCTCCACACCCCATAGCCGCCACTGCCTCATATCCTCCCTTGGTCCCAACATTCTCTCAATAAAAACGAAACAATTTAATTACGTTTCCATTCTACACTCTGCCTGCCGTCCACTCACAGTCCCCACTCAATCCCGGTCCCTGAACGTATCCGATCCGGTCCAGGATGTATAGTTTTCTATATTTAGATTATACCCCCAGAGGGGGCGTGGCAAACACACACACACAGAGAGAGAGAGGGAGAGAGAGAGAGAGGATACACAGAAAAGAATTCATGCAAAAGGGCCCCGCAATTTATCAAATTAGCTCCGATCGCAGGCAAAGTGAATCCGAAAAGGGTACAGGCGGAGATGGGGCCAGCAAGGTGTTGGATATTAGATGATGCGACTGGACAGGATCTCAGGGACACAGCATGGGGCAAGAGGACAGCAACACTGCGAATAAATAAGAATGAATTCAAAGTGAATGTTTGAATGATTCCCATTCGATGGTGAGTTGTCCATCGGGCAAGTAATTATTTAAATTACAATGGGAAAATCATGTGCTACATTCATTCGAATGCACTCCAATTTGACATTTAAATGAAAGCTTCTGTCATTCGGCCCCATTCGTATGGGGAAATCATTCCATAATTTAATGTAATTCCATAAATAAATGGCATATCCAGCCAAACATATGCAGAATCAATGCATTTACCTTAAATATTTGAGGCATTCAAGTGTGTAATTCGGAAATAATTCACACCGAAGTGTGTCTGAGGAATTGCTCATTAAAATGAGATCCCCTCCAATATTCAGTCTCCCATCACGCTAGGAACTAAATCGATGATTGCCACTGCCACGACACAATCGAAAGCCATTCAAATGCCACAACACTTGCAACTTTGTAATCACATCGATAACCGCGCCGCCAGCCCCCCGGTGCCAGCCTCTGCCACTGTTTGCCGGTCCCCACTCGCGGTGCCAACTATCAATTGTGTAAGATGTGGACTACCTACATACGCATACAATGCACTCCACTCCCCTCCAGCATTAAAGCGAAATAACAAGCGGACGGCCACTAATGAATGGTTTGCATTTTGCTGTTAAGTGTACCTAATTATGCGTGCAGCACTGTAACGCTGCCTCTGCCGCAGTCGCTGCCTCTCATTCGCTCTCTCGCTCTCTGCTTTGGCACTGCTTTTGCACTGCTTTCTGGCATACACGATACATAATTCCATGATGCTTGCACTTGGCCGCTCAACATTCTGTTTTAGTTGCAGAAAACAAAACCCAAAGGGATTTAGATGTTCAATTTAACGAAAAATGCCATCAAAGTTATCAGTCATGCCAAATGGTGACGGTGAAAAACGTAACGTTTACAAGGAGCAGCACTCTATCGGTTGCGGGTTGGGGTGCTCTCTCGCTCTCTGCTCTCTGCACTCTGTGGAGCGACACAAAACTCGTTTGTTTTAAACGACGCGCCGACCCGCGGCCGCGGTCAGTCTTTTGCCTTAATGTGTGTGTATGCGTGTGTGTATGCGTGTGTGTGTGTGTGTTAATAACTCAATAACAACGCCAAATAATAGAGACATTAAAGGCAGCAAGCGACAAGCGACAAACGACAAACAAAACGCAGGACGCAAGAGCAGGCCGCCCTTTCATGTGTGAGAGTTTGAGGCGGCACAGAGGACTTGTGTGGGGGAGTGGGGGCGGCATCACATACGTACGTACATACACATGTATTTATTTACACACAAAATGCATTCAAATGACTTAATAATAACAGGCGCTGGGCCGGACTGCACAACTCCGCCCCCAATTGGAAAGAGTCGCGCGGAGAGTGAGGTGCCGCGACGGTGCCACAGAGTGAGCGAACACATAATTCATGTGGCTGTTTTTTAGGCACTTTTGAAAATGCAAAACGATAATTGAAATTTATTATGATTATTGCACCCACTGTGCAGCGTGTGTGCAGTGTGCAATGTGCAACGTATCGCCACCACCAGAGGTACTGCAATTTGGCAACGCCGCTACACTGGGGTGGCGCTCCTGGCCTCAACCTCCACACGAAATGCCAAAAAACGAAACAAAGCAACAAAGATCCGAGCGGCTAAATCACAGGGAATGGAACTTGTGTGCGTGTGTGTGTGTGTGTGTGTTGCATGCCACAGTCACATTCCGTGGCATGTTATTTTCGTTTACAGCTCGCGTCAGCCAGGCAATATAACAGTTACACACACCCCAAAGATCCCCAACGCCAAACTGCAGAACCCCAGAACCCCAGAACACAGACCCAACCACCCAGCTACACAGGACACTCCTGCCCCACTCTTCCCCACGTTCCACCGCAGGTGACGAGCCACTTAAGTCATAAAAATTAAAGTGAAAATGAAAATGAAACAAGAAAAGAGAAGAGAAATAAAGGTTGAGAAATGGTTTTATGGATTTAAAGGAGTGTGTAGGATTATTCCTGGTCTAATTGCATTTCCCCAAAGAAGCAACAGAGGACTCAAAAGCCTAATGAATGCCTGATTCACATTCATTGAATGATTCAGTGGCTTTGGAGACCATTTGCATGATTCTAATACAAGAGTTGAAGTGATTCCGTTCAGTCAAGGAAGAACTTTTCGTAGGTTAAAGGTTTCGTTGGGGAAAGTACATGAATATATTTTACTTAATATTGCCACTGCCACAAATACTTTGATTCACTTCCCCCGAAAAATGAAAAGAAAAACCCAATCACAAAACGGAAATCCATTAGAAAAGCTTCACGGAAGTAACGAGTTTTGAGAAACTCAAACGAGATCTATTCGAAGGCACTAAAATGATTTATCATTCAGTGCAGTGGAAGAGCATTCCAGTCCATTCCATCGTTCCATCAATGTGAAGTGATTTCCGTTTTTTACGGCAGAGCGGAAACATCCATTCCACCCATCCCATCCCATCCCATCCCACTCGATGCGCCCTCACATCTTCCATCCATTCGGAATTCATTAGGAGACAAGAAACGAGACAAAAAGAGTGTAAAGAGTGTTAAGAGTGAAGAGAAAAGAGAGCAAACACAGAAAATGGCGGCGTCGGAGCAGAAAACTGAAAATCGCATGATAAATGATTTCGATCGCCTTATGACAGTTTCTTCATTTCCGGCATGAAATGAGCAACGCAACGGCACAAGAAAACGTCATGTGAGAGGGAGAGAGCGATGATGGTGTGGATGGGAATGGAAAGAGGAATGTGAATGGGTGTGGGGACGACGACGACGACGACGACGACGACGATGATGTTGATGATGTCCCGTTCCACCACCCACACAACCCACACACCCATCTGCCATTCGGCTGCATGTCAACTCTATGCCGCAAAATGATTAATGAGCAAAAAGGCCATGCCCCAAAAACCCCTCCCTGCAGCCAGCACCCTGCCACCGCCACCCTCCTCCCACACACACAGCACAAAGCTGCCAGCAGCAAAACGGGCGGCGGCAGCGCACAATCTGCAATCTGGCAATCTGGCAATCGGGCAATCGTTGGCCTAATCAAATTGAATCAAATCAAATTAATAATTAGTTTTTAAAGCGCTGAAGCGCCAAAGGAGTAGGAAGTGACTCCTCGCTCTGGCTGTCTCCCTGTCTGTGGAAGTGGGTGCCGCTCTGTCCCCCTCAGTGTCTCTCCTCATGTGTTGGCTGCAATTAATTAAACGGCCTGGCGCACAGCTAATGTCGCAGAAGGCCCCAGAGATCGAGAGGCACCATCCTCCAGTGAGTGCAGTTAATTACAAGCAGTGTGGACTGCTTACCTCTGGCCACGCCCCTGGCAAACGCCCCACGAGCACCGGCCGAGAGCCGAGAGCCGAATGGCCGCGCGCATTGGATATATGCATTATGGCCATAATTACACCAACTAGCCATCATTTGTTAATGCTAATTGGTCAATGAGCCGCAGCCAGAAGATGGCCCGCGCCGCTCTCCGCTCTCCACTCTCCATTCTCCACTCTCCGCTCTTCGTCTTGCACTTGGATCTTGGACCCGACCCGGCTAATGGCTCTACATTGAGACAGCGCAGAGAGCGACGATCAAAGCAAATGGAGTCCCATCAATTTCGGCTTCCCGGTGATTGTCCAATAACAAGAAAACTACACATAAAGCCCCCGCTCCCCTCCCCACCCCGCCCACAAGAAAGAAAGAAAGCAAGAAAGTGGCAATGACCACAAAACAAGTTAAGCATAAATCATCCAAGAGATGATTTCCATCAGAGGGAGCGAAAGAGATCTCCAACAAGAGATTCCTGGAATGAAAGCAATTGAGGAATAGGAAATGAATCCCCCCAATTCTCAACTCACTTTGAATACATTTTACTTGGAAAAGCGGGCAAGATTGCTCAAGTCTGTGATGGCAAAATTCATTTCTAATGAACATATTTTGTTATAAATTCTGGAATGCGAGTAACTGGCAATAGTCAGGGAGAGAATTCTATAAGAAGAGTTTCCAGTGCAAAACATGATATCAAATGTACATTTGCACATAGAAATATTTAGAAATAAATGCAACATAGAGACACATTTGAATGCATCAAATAAAATCATCATATTCCCTATTGAAGCGAAACTTCTTTTGGTTGTGTTCCTTTGCAGAATATGGAATGCGGACTGCTCGATGCCGAATAACAATAAGCAAAATTGTGTCTTTGGCACGCTTTCAGTAAGGATGGAATGGAAATGCCTAAAAGTGTAGAAATCTCTCTTTGGCTTTACGAACGGCCTTTATGGAATGATCTTTGCGGAATATCTATTCCTATGGCGATAATAAATTCTCTCTTGTAATCCGAAACCCACTGAAATGTCGAATCAGAGTCAACTATAGAGGCAACTCTTTGTTGGTAGTATGTGGAGCACACAATAGTTTGATCGTTCGGGAACTCGAGTCTAGCGACTTCAAACTCGCCTGCACAGCGGGCGGGTCCGTCTTCCAGTTCGTTCTCAGGGCATTCGTTGGAGCAATCGACATACTTTGTATGCTAAATACAAATCAGAGAATCAATCGGATTTTACATAATAATCGATCGCTGATTAGCTAAATCAATAAATATGTTTTGTAGGTAGCAAAAGTCAAGCACAAAGCGCAAAACTCTGACTGACTGATACACAGAGCTCACGGCCCCAGAGCTCACCGCACCGCACCGCACCGGCTCTATGGACTGACATGACTGACAATCCGAAAGCATTTAGCAGGGCTAATTGAATGAATTAGCATATTGTCCGCACAGATAACGACACCAACATGGATTCCAATCACACATTTAGCAAACAATCTACGAAGTGGATCGATCAACCGGCGCTGACCTCCAATTCTCTCTCTCTCTCTGTCTCTGTCTCTGCCTAATGTGTTCTCGGGCCTGATAATTCATTAGCGGATCTCCTGATCTCCCAACGAAAGTCGCCAATTTTAAATTGATTTCTTGGAGGAATACGGAATGCATATTATGGGGGAACTGTGACGTCGCTTCAGGGGGGTTACCTAACGCACATTTTGACGATTAGGTTTGCAGAGACAATGCCGTCGGAATTGTGCAAAAAGTCGTTCAATGATGATTTGAGCTTCCCTGTACTTGTGTGGAGCATAACCAAGCTCTTTGAATATCCCGCCTGATTCCTGAACAACTTCTGCTTAAACTTATGGACTTACCGCCATCCTCGTTGGATCCCTCGCTCGGCGGCCCCGCGGGCGGCAGACTCTGTCGATTGCCGATCATCAAGCGATGCTGGATGGTCGCCACAGTGCTGGCCACAGCGGCCACTGCCGTCGTCTGGGCGGCACTCACATTCCTTAGCGCCGCGGCACTCAGTCCGGTGAGATTGGCGAAGGCATTGCTGGCATTTACCGCCGCCATTTGTGTGGCCGCGGCGGCAGCTGCCGCTGTTGTGGGATGTCCACCGCCGGCCGCATCGAAGCGCGGTCGTCCAAGGAACGGTCCATTTGGCCCAAAGACGCCGGGCACTCCGAACTGCAGGAAGGGTCCCCAGGGCGGCACTCGAACGCCGCCGGGCGCTAGTTGGGCGGCAGCGGCATACAGCTGGAGGGCGGCCGTCGGATGCAGTCCCTCCGATGGCATACTGACACTGGGCCTGGGATGGGACTGAGAGTGGGAGTGGTTGTGGGTGTGGGAATGAGTTGTGGGCGGACTGCTGCCGCTCAACCGTTGCTGCTGCAGTTGCTGTTGCTGTTGCTGTTGCTGTTGCGTCGACGTGGCTGATGGCAGATGATGATGTCCCGTGTGGGGATTCTGATTGGGATACGGGTGTGGATACGGATTGGATGTTGTCCTTTGGCGGGACGATGGTGCCACTACTTCCGGCTCGTCCTCCTCCTCCTGGCTGCTGCTATTATTATTGTGATTGATGTTGTTGCTGTTGCTGTTGCTGTTGCTATTGCTGTGGTTGCTGTTGTTATTGTTATTGTTGTTGTTGTTGTTGTTGTTGTTGTTGTTGATGATGGAGAACTTTTTAGTGTCCGCTGCGGTGTGGGTGGCTGTGGGTGAAGATTGATTCTGTCGTTGCTCCAGTACCATTATGGCTCTCAGAACGATCAAAACTCATGGGCCATTGGGTGGGATCTACACTTTTTCTTTACACAAAAATTACTTGGGGCTCGTGTGTGTGTGTGTGTGTTTGTGTGTGTGGGGGGCGGGGGGGGGGGACACACTCGCGCTTTGGATCGATCACTAAAGGACTCTTTGTTGAGAGTTTTCAATATTTTTCGTTTTCGTGCTTAAAAAAAATGTACAGTCTGTTCTTTTTTTTGCAGTGTGTGTTTTTGTTTGTTTTCGTTTAGTTTTCTGTTTAGTTTTCTTTTGTGTGGTGTTTGGATGGCTCTGCTCTGCCGTCGGCCGGCGGCGGTGCACTACTGAAGAAGACGCGTCGCTCCACACTGACTGAGGGTCTTGGCTCCACTCTCGAGCTTTGGGCACGGTCCGCCGTTCGATTGGATTCGATTCGATACGATTCGCGTACTGCAGGGGGGGGGGTGCAGACGGTGTTGCAGGGAGAGAGTCGGTCGAGACGAGACGAGACGAGACAGACACCAGCAGCGGCAGCAGCAGACGACGCTAGCGGCTCGCAATGAAAATTCAATCTGCGAGCCGACGACGAGCCATGCGGCCAGGAAACCCTCAGAAACGAGATGGAGCGACTGGCAAGAGCGAGAGAGAGCAGCGAGGGCGAACCACCACCAACGCGGGCAGAGATTGTTGCCATGTTTCTGTTTCTCTCTCTCTCACTCTCACTCTCACTCTCTCGCTTGCTGTTCGTCTCTCTTTGGGCGCGCTCTCTGCGTGTGTGTGTGTGTGTGTGTGTGTGTGTGCGTGTGCGAGCGAGGTAGAAATTCATCAAAAAGCAACAACCACTTAATTTTTATATGCGCTGCGTTTCGCCTGTTTCAATTTTGATCAACTTGCCACTGCCAGTGCCACTGGCTCTGCCTCTGCCTCTGCCTCTTCTGTGCTGCTTCTGTAATTCATTTAAAGGGGAAACCTGTCCGACTGCATTTGTGTGTGTGGCCATTTTCAACATGGTCTCTGGCCTCGTGTCGTGTGTGCTAGAGCGAGACAAATGTCTCGTCCGTGGCCGCTTCCATTGGCTTTCCACAAATACTGGGAATTTGTCTGCCTGCGCCGCTGCCTGCCTGCCTGCCAGCCTGCTGCTTGCTGCTGCGTCGCCATTGCCAAAAATGACTTCAAGAGTTTTCAATTTTCTTCAGGCTGTGTGTGTGTGTGTGTGTGTGTGTGTGGGTGTGTGTGTGTGCGGCAAAGTTTTCCAGGGCGGAGTTATGCGGCATTTTTTCAATTTGCTTCTCCATCAAATTATTATATGCTCTGCACTCTGCTCTCTGCTCTCTGCTTGGCCGCTGCTCTGCCGCTGCGCAGCTGGCGCTGTGCGACTTTTGCCGCCCGCAAAACGCGTCCACCTCCAATAGCCATAAATGCCCATTTTCCTGGCAAAATAGAAAATGAAAATTCGTTAACAATTAATTAACAATAAGCTGGTTTGTTGTTCCCCCTGCCACTTGGCTGCCTGCTTACACTTCCACGAAGCTTTTCGCGCGGTTTGCTGGCGTTTCTGGCGCGTTTTCTTTTCAATTAGGTTCCCGCTCCTCTCCAAGGCATTCAGTTTGGCATGCGTGCAAGCGGGATGGCCATACACACACAACGCCGACGCCAGCCAATTTGCCTTTAATTTGTTAACATAAACGCCTCGTCCTGCCGAAGGACGAAGTGGAGCAAAAGGAGCACGAAAACTCCTCCAAGCAGCTCCAACTTCCGAGGCTGTTGGATCCTGCTCCTGCTCCTGCTGCTGCTGCTGCTGCGCATGAATCATTCATTTTATTAGGCGCCTGGGCAGCGACGTTGGCCGAGGCAGCGACTGCGACCGTGGCAGCGCCAAACGATGCTCCACTTAACCCATTTGCTATGCAGCGGGGTCGTTTCCACCCACACCCACACCCACACCCACACTCACACTCACAGCCACACACCACACTCCTCACAGGGCAATCAATGACATTGTGTGCTGTGGAGTCTGTAAAGCAGAATGACCTCTGGCCCCATACGCCCTTTCCCCCCACCCCCCCGTCCACTCCCAATGGGGCAAGTCCCGCGTCTCATCTGTCAGATGTTTTGTTGGCAGGTTGCTTAATTGCTCGCCCTTCCTTCTCTTTTCCACACTCTCTTTCTCTCTCTCTCTCTCTCTCTCTCTCTCTCTCCCTCTCTCTCTCTGTGGCTGTCTGTCTTTCTGGCTGTATTGGTGTTCATTTTATTAATGACATACAACGCCAGTGGGCGAAAAACGACATCGAGCCACCCCCGACCCTCCACACACCATCCCTCAGCCCCCCCTTACCCATCACACCTGTGGTATCCAACCTGCCCCCTGCCCCTGACCCCTGCCAGTTTCAGTTTGTTAATAAAATTTCCATGCGTACCGAAACTTAATTAATTCTGCCACAGTTTGTTGCAAAAGTTTGCTCACCCCACAGGAACCCCCTTAACAAAATGGCCGCCACCTTTGGCCCATCCCTGCGCTGGCGGTGGCTCCATGTCCTTCGCACATACAGCCCCTGCCCCCTGCCCCTGCCCCCTGCCCCTGCCCCGTGCCCCTGCCACATTCCCTTGCAAATCAAACGAATGAATTTTAATTATTTTTTGTGCCAGCAAAAAGTTTCCACTTCTCTCTGCTTTTTTTTGTTTGTGTGTTTGTCTTGCCTCCAGGTAGCGGGAAAACTTTTTTAGAAACCCAACCGGAACCTAGGAATGGAAAATGGGGAAAGTGAGGCCACAGCTGAGCGCTGGAAAAAAAACAAAAAAATATATACGATTCACCCAGAACTGCGGGGAATTGGGGAATATTTTTGAAGTTATGCTTGAGGTGCATCTAATCAGAATCTGTTCGAGTGAAGAGACTGTGTGGAAGAGATGATGGCAACTGAAGCGGAACTGGCAGATTGTCAACACTCGCAGAGGGCACCTCTTCCGAGTTAAGTCGTAGAAGGAAAAAGTTTTGTTCATTCAGCAGGACTCTAGCACTAGAACAAAAGTTCTTGCATCTCTCTCTCTCCCTAATTAATATCATATCCGATACGATATTTTGTCACTCTCGCATTGCTTTTTGGAGAACTCTTTATTTTTGGCGAAGCTGCCATAATCCATTTCCATAATCAGACACACTGTTCACGTTGAGGTTATGGTAATATCTGTACGTACTATGCAAATGGAACTAGAACCGCTCAGGAATATCCTCCAAGCCATCCCAGTGCACCTTGGATCGTAGTAGCACTCTTCAGTTTTATCTTGTAATTATCCTCGTTAGGTGATCAAAGTCGGAGTCTGTAATGAGTTAGAGAATTATTTTTATTTAATAGCTATAAATCATTTCATAGAAATTATGATCATAGGAATTGAAGTGAAAACCACATTGAAAACCTGCGAGGAAAGTTGAGGATTGATTTACTAATCTTTGAATATCTTAACGTTGAGTATTTGTGCTTAAAGCCTGAACAATTTTGACTCCCAACAAGACAATAGTTCGGGCTGAATATCCTATTTATAATAAAAACTCTACTGGGAGACAGCGTAGTAATGAAACATCTACCAATGTCGGTGAGAAACCCTGCAAAAATATCAGTGAAAACGTTCTCAGTGCTCACAAAAGTAGCAGCACACCCTGCACTTCATTGATCACTCATTTTGTTACCTGTTATAGTCCCTTGATAAATCTCATCTGAATATTCGTATAATTAGAACTTCTTAAAATATAATATTTTCAACTAAAATATGCATTAAAACTCATCATAAATATATGTAATATTCATAGGCAAAGTGTTTTCAAAACACAGCCAGAATCAGACCCACAAGTAAAAAGGGAAATGTAGAAGAATTCCCTTTAGAAATAGGGGGAATTGGTGCACAAACGCAAAGCTGGGAGCAAAGCTGCAAGCAGACAAATTTGGATTGGATGTGGAATGTGGAATGGAATGCTTTGTGGGGGAATTTGACGCTCAAAATGTCTCTTTGATTTGTCCATCAAATGCCCGAGGGGGGTATGTGGAATGTGCGTGGATGGCAAAAATATTGCGGACGGATATGAAAACTTAGGGAATGACAGGCAGGAAATTGCAGAACTGTTTTATGGTATATTGCAAAAAAAATACAAAATATACAAATGATAAATGATAAATGATAAATGAGGGAATGGCAGAGCCAGTGGGCATGGGAAGCAGTGATGTGCCTGCACAGATTGAATTTAGCTACAATGCAACATTGAGGCAAGTTGGAACCTTAAAGTCTTCTTGGATTTGGCATTTTTCAATAGTTTTCAATACAAAGATTTCCTTGGCTTAGACTTCCTCTTAGACTTCCTAATTTCTCCCCATTCCTGGTTTGCCTCAAAATGTTGCCAGTTGTTGTCTCGATTTACGATTGGACCAATTAATGAGCGTGTTAATTGGCCCTCATTGGGACAGATAGACCATAACCCAAGCATGTAAACCGCATATCATATTGTGGCAATCAAAAAACATTGACGACACGCCCACTGCTTGCATCCTGGCGATTCCTGATTTTGTGGCACGAACCACGGAAATTGAAGCGAGTGATCAACAGATGCACCGCGACCAGCACACATGTGTGTCTCCAGCTAATAGAAACGCCCACTTTTTTGGGTGTCTTCGACAATCAAAAAAGTATCTCTAGCCAAAGCCTTGCGGCAACCCCTGCAATGAATGGGCAACCACCCTGTGGTGCACCTCAACCCCCCACCCAGCGACTATTTCTCAGCAACCGCTTATATATTTACTGCCACTGCTGCCACTGCCCCTGCCCCTGTGGATGCCACACAAAAGCCAAGTCACACGAAATTATGGCAATTACGCTAAGCAGCCCATTTATTTTTATGAGCCCACGAATTATGAATAATTGCGAATGCGAACCAGCAACCAGCAACCAGAAACCAGCAGCAGCCAAACAAGACACAAACTATACGTGAGAGATGTGGATGTGGATGTGGATGTGGCTCCCAAAACCCCCTCCCCACATCACATTGACTAGGGGGGGAAATCAAAAAGAGAAACAACATCGTTAGCAGACATGTTCGAAAATCCATTTTGACATTCAGAAAGAGAGCGCTGACATAATGAAAAACCGCACTCACATTACCCGAAGCGTTCCTTTCCTCCAATCGAAGTCTCAATCTCCGCAGCTCGGTCCGTGGTGGGTGGAATCTATGTGGGTGGATGGGTGGTTGCGTGGATTCGTCATTAGGCTCATAAAATGGCAATGACTTGGCACACACACACACCACACACCACACACCACACACCGACAGACAGCTGGAGAGACAGACGATGGGGGAACAATCTTGACAAATGGCAAACAAAAACTAAACTAAATGCTCCATGGAGATTGAATCGAATTGGGAGATGCCCTGGATGCGTGGAGCACAGCTGATACCTCTATGAAAAGGCTGAACTGATGACAGTAAAGGGGTTTTCCAACACTGCCCCTGGCATGTGTTTTAAAGTAAAAAGAAATGAAAGCACGCTTCAGGTCAACTTGATTGGTTTTGCATTTCAATGCTTTCCACAAGGCAAAAGTAATCCAAAAGTAAATGCAAACTACCATTGTTAGACGCGTTTTCCTGCACTCCACTTAGACCATCCAGTGTTAGGCAATAACATTCGCTACACTTCTGACACTTTTCGTACACCCAAGAATATTCCCCATGAAATATACAGATAAATACCTTTCTAAATGGTACACAAAGGTACAGAGGTATCACAGAGCAGCCCCACGGGGTGATGGCATTGCTCAACACTCTCACAGCGCTGCCCAACGCTTTGACGGCTGCCATCTTA